GAAATAAATGAAAAAAATTAAAAAAAAAGAAAAAAAAGGAAAGAAGAAGGAAGCGTAAGAAAGAACATAATCAAGAACATGAGATTGATAAAAGTAACAAAAATCATTCAAAGTGTCTCCGTGTCGTTTCATCGTGCACACGTTTTGTCTTCGACGATTAAAAAATATAATTAAAAAGAAAAAAAAAACAACAAATAAAAAGTAACAAAATTTAGAGAAAAGAGAGATATCAGAGAAAAAAAATAATAATTGATAATTACAAAAGAAAGAGAGAAAGAAAGAAAGAAAGAAAGAAAGTGTGTGTGTTGGTCCTTCGCTGCTTAGATTTTTGATCATTTTATCATTTTTTTTTCGGGTGTGAATTTAACAACATCAAAAATTAACAAACAACAACAACAACAACAACAAGAACAACATCAAAATTATTCGCGTCAGATCGAATTGGAAGATTAGAATGAACGAAAGAGAGAAAGAGAGAACGAACGAACGAACGAAAGAGAGAGAGAGAAAGAGAGAACGATAGAGAGAGAGCGAGAGAGATGTTGAGAAAAAAAAATCATGAAGTAAATGGGGAAAAAAAAAACGAAAAAGAAAAAAAAATGCAAACAGATGATTAGGTTCCGCGGTTGTCGACAGGGTGTTCCGTGCCCGGGGGGCGTAGGAGCCCAAAAAATGCTTTGCTGTCGTGCGCCGCCTCTTTACTTTAGGCTAATAATTTAAATATTAATAATATAATGATAACAATAATATTATAATACATGTTACAATAAGATATTATTAGATGTAATTATTATATATGGTTTAGTCTAGATTGTGTTGTTGAAGAAAAAAAAAAACAAAGTACGTATAAGCGACAAAAGAAAATGAGAGAAAGAGAGAGAGAGAGAGAGAGAGAGTTAGAAAAAGAAGATATTGCATAAACAAGGAGAAAGAGAAAATGAGAAGAAAAGAGAGGAAAGTACGATCGAAGTGAGATAGATTGATGATAATAAAGAAAAAGAAAAAGAGGAAAAATAATGAAATAAAAATCACATATGAAAAGAATGAGAAAAGTGATAAGGAAGAAAGAAATGAAGAAAGAGACGAAAAAAGGAGAGATTAAATTTGGTAGAACGTGTGGGATTTGCGTGACGAAGAGAGAGAGAGAGAGAGAGAGAGAGAGAGAGAGAGAGAAAGAAAAAAAAATTTCGGTCTAAGACCATAAAATTGTGTGGCGGACTGAGCGGGGTATTNAAAAAAAAAAAAAAATAAAAGTAAAACACAATTGCATTTTCCGCTTTACTTTCTCTACATCTACCGAAAACGGGAATTTCTAAGGACGATGAGAAAATAAACAAAAAAAGAAGAAACAGAGTAAAAAGAACAAAATTTCATTTAAATAAGAAAACAAACAATGGAAGTGTGTACCTGTAATCGTTTGTTCTTTTTTGGGGGGATTCTTTCTGTTAATAAATATTAACTTTTCTTTTTTTTTCCGCGCGAAAATCGAATTTCGAACGAATCTTTTGAACGCGAAAGAGAGAAAGAGGAGAGAGAGAACTATTTGTGTGAAAGTTGAGCGAACAAATGCGTGGGAGCGAACGAGAGATTGAGAGAGCGAGAGAGAGAGAGAGAGAGAATATATTTGAGATTTTCGCTCTATTTTTTATTCTTTTCTTGTTCTTTTTTTTATTTATTTTTTTTTTTTTTTAAATTTTAATCTCCATTTATAAATCCAAAGACGAGGAGTGAATAATTAAAAATAGCATCTTATAAAATAGAAAAGGAAAGATTTTAATAACAAACAAAATGATTACCTATTAATTATTATTATTATTATTAGTATTATTATTATTATTGTCTTTTATTCTAGTAATATATTATAATAATAATTATTATATTGTTATTGTTATTATTATTATTACTATTACTATTTACTAATTGCTATTTTACTATAACTACAACATCAACTCAACTTACCCAAGAGAAACCTTTCCCATGAAAAATATTGAGTGTGGAATCGTCGACGAAGAACCAAGCAAGAACCCTGCTTAGCCCGCCACATATATTAAATTAAAAAATTAAAATAATAATATTTAAAAAAAAGTAAAAAAAAGTAAAAAAAAAAAAAAGAAATAAAAATAAAGCGCGCGAAAAAATCATTGAACGAAGAAAAAGTGGGAAGATATAAAAACTAGAAGACGACGATAAAAAGAAAATAATGAACGATGTTTTATTAATATTGTAAATATTTTAAATAATTGAAGACGCGGACAAAACAACAGGATCGTGCGTGAAACGGTGACCCGACGCTTTAGAAGGGCCGCCTCCTTTTGGGTACGGGTCTCCTTGTACTCTTTTTCTGTTTTTTCCTTTTTAGCGCCGCATTACGGAACAAATTGCATACACATCAACTAAAAATACCCCCCCTCCACACACATACATACAATGAGAAAATTACATGTAATACATGAAAACTAATGAACATACACACATACATTTACACACTCCTATAAGAATAGAATACAGAGTTAATTAAAAAAAAAAAAAAAACAACTCTGTCGATCAAATATATCTTCTAATTGATGATTCCTTTCATATTGATTATTCTATAAGTTCCGTTTTCACACATGAAATATATTAAGGATGAAGCGAGAGACATTGTCCAACCCAAGTGTCATTACTTTTGATGTTAAATAAAAAATACATAATTAACCAGCGTTTTTATCTTTTAATCTACCATCTAAAACTATTATTCGATTATTCTATATTCAGAGTTTGAGTAACGGCTTAACGAGTGGAACAGTTTGAGAAACCATATATTCTATATGATAATACTAAAAATAAGTTAATAAGAAAGTTTTTTTTTTAATAAACTCTAAATATATTATGATCAGTCAAATGACCGATTGTAAAATTTTTAATAGAATATCTTACAAGATATTATTATGCTATTTGGTTAGTCAAGAATTCTTTTTACATGAATGATATATTGTTTGCTATGTGTACATCATAAAAATACATACATTTAGTCTTAAGAACTAGTTTCTTCATTTTAAATATTTTTCTTAATAATGATAAATTTAATAAATATACCTATAAATTTATTATCATTCCATATCCGTAACATTCCATCTCTTTTGTTCCATTTGCGGTCTGGATTTATGTAAAGCCTTTTTGCGTAATTTTTTAATATGCGTCTGTAGTTTTCCTGAACTTTTCAATTCTTCATATTTAGATATCAAATCCAAGACTTTCTTTTCGGCTATAATTAAAATATAAATTATTACAATCGTATGACAATACAAGTTTAAAGTTCAAGAAAGTAGAACAAAGTAAGACCAACTTACATTTCTTTTTGAAAACAGGTTTTTGCCCAGATTTGATAGCATTTATTATTTCTTTCCTTTCCTGAATTTGCTTTTCTTTCTTCATGTTCAATTTTTTCTGCTCTCTCAATTGATTTTCTAATCGCTGAATAAGATATTTGATCTTTTTGATTTCTTTTGGATCCTCGGTCTTCTTCAACTCATTTTTTAATGTAGCTAAGTTTTCCTCTTTGATTTCATTGATAAAACTGTATGCATGTTTAAATGCTTTCTCGTTAAACTCACCGGATAGATTGTCAAAGCGTGGATCTCTAGGTCTATTCTTTTTAACCTGTATTATTTCCCTAAATCTTGGTACTTGCTTCTTCGTGGACATTTCTCTAGGTCTGTTCTTATTTTCTCTTTTATAAGTTACTATCTTTTTTTTCCGAGGACCAAATAATGTTTCATTGTACACCTTTGTACCAAGTTTTTCTTTCAATTTTTGTAAATCTTCAAAACTCATATTTGCTAATTCTGCACGAATTTGTGCCTATGATTTGTTTAAATGTTAAAAAAGAAGAAGAAATTTATAAGAAAATTAAATTCATGTAAATGATAAATGGTAAACATAACCTCCAAAAATTCATTACTATTTATTCTAATAGAACTAGAATAAAACAAACTTGATAATATATATATAAATCATCTCACCTGGTCCTTATCTTGGTCCAGAAATGAATTTTCTTCATCACTCATTTTAAAAACAAGTAAATTTAATAACAAACACTCGTAAAGTATGGGAAACGATCCTTGCACGATTCACCCGCATGCCACAATGTTTATACACGTGCATAGGAATCTGTATTATCGACATGCAGTTAAATTGATGTTTCAATTTTGTAAAGTAAAACTGATTGTGTTCAAGATGGTGTAATATGTACCTTTTTAAATAAAATCATAAGAAATGATTATATAATTCAACATTTTTTCACTTATAGAAAATCAGCTGATATAAGCCAAAAGGTTAGGTACACATATAGAACACATACATATTTACATCACGTATACAGATTACCATCATAGTAGGATTAGGTATACACATATAACACATCACATACACACACTATAAGATATTATGTACATTTTCTTTAAATATAGATCTATATAAAAAAAAAAAAATAATTATTAAAATGGCAAATGCATAAAAAGACATTTTATGAATTATTTTTATCTCATTGTCAGAATCTGAAATTAACGTGTATATATTGTATTTATGAATATACATAGTGTACATTTGTGCATACAAGTGGAAGAAATTTATTGTCAATTTACCTTAGTATTGAAAATAGATATTTTTCAAGAAATTAAATAGGTCAGTAATATTCATGCAATTTAAATTATCTTCCACGTTATTGAGCTCGATTCAGGATAAGAGAAACATCAGCTTTTTGTTATAAATTTTCCTTTGTTTTTTATTGGCAGAAGAGATCATTTTTTCCAATAGAAAAAATACGAGTAACATAATATTAAATTATTTTGAAGAAAAGTAGGATGATGTTGTTTTAAACATTTATATAAATTTTTTTTTTTCATCAGGTTTCTACATCGTTTTCTATCTACCCTGGATCAACGTATGATTATATGTGTAGATCAACTAATAATTTTCATCATTTTTGGAGCTATTGTAAAACTGAAATGAATGTTTGGAAGTCATCGCAGAACTTAAGTAGTAAATGAAGGAATTAAAGTTCCTTCAGTAATCATCATGCTAAGGATAACAAATCTTAACTAGCATAATTTATTGGCTATAATTTATTCAATAATTTATTGACAATAATTATACGATATATGTTCAGTTTATTGTTTTATTTTCATTATTGAAATTTATGATTAATGATTGAGGATATATTTAATTAAAAAAAAAAAAAAGAAGTATATAATGTGATGAAATATCGTGAAGTATTTATCAAAGTATCTTATTGATAAATATATATCTATATAAATAATCGAAAATTTGTAACAACTTGCATTAATCATTTTAATTTGTCAGATACGAATCGTGATAGATACGTGTCTGATATTTATTTTAATAATTAACAAATTAACAAAATGAATAAAAATAAAAGTTGAAAGGAAAAGTGAAAGATTAGAATCGATTGAGATGGAATTGAGGATAATAGAGGTGAAATCTATGTTTCAAGGCTAAATATGAGATTCGTAGGTTAGTATGTCGAACGAGCGAAAGCGAACGCGTTTATAAGAGAAACAGAATGAACGAGGGGGAATGGAGGAAATTTTTATAAAGTAGAACTCGAGAAAGCGAAAGTGTTTCAAATGTTTCTCTTGCACGGACGAAGAAATTATTGAAAGAGAAGTTTAAAGCTTTCGAAAACTGATATCGCACAATACAAAACTTTTTGGATACTTTTCCTTCTTTCCTACAATCAGTTTTTTTTTTAAAGCGATAAATCTAGTACAATGTTGACTCTTTATTTTTAGAAAAATATTATTGAAGTTAAAACTTCTTTAGAATCAAGGTGATTTGAAAATCGTGAAACGGAAGAACGTGAAACAGAAGCACGTTAAACCAATGAAACAAAAATAATTAATAAAATTCAATGTATAATTTAATTTTATA